GAAGGCAGCTAGTCATCACCACCCACCGCCAACGCTTGGGCTAGTCTTTTACCAACGAATAGTGGGATTGACCGTCACATTATAACGCCCCCACGGCTGAAAGGATGAGCATGTTTGGTGTGACGGGGACTCGAACCCGCGACCCGCAGATTGAGAGTCGAGCGCCCTAACCACCTGGCCCGGTCAGAGAAGAGTTGGTGGTAAGTATTTTTAACTAGCTGCCTTCTTTCTAATCTATAAACTCAAGATTGGTGGCGACTATGCGCAGACAGCCTTATGTAGCCTTGCGCGAAAATTATTAAAAAAAAACATAAATACTTGTTTGATCGACTGGGAAACCCTTACGGTAAGTGCGATTGTCGCGTATGAAAAGTGGTCACGTATTACTTAAACTTAAACCCTTTAGGTGACTCAGTGAGAAACCTGAAAGCTTATATAGAAATAAAACTCGAGGTTCGATACCTGTGATGAGAACAGCACAGACAGTTCACTAGTTAATTTCGGCTTTGCGCTAAACAAGTGGTCATGTATAATTTTCTATTACTTAATTTTAAGCTAAGTGGTAAGCTAAACTAAGTGGGAAGATTCTAGTTACGATCCCTGTGATTGGCACATCACAGCTATTCTACTGCAACTTTGTGCTTAACGGGTGGTCATGTGTAATTTTGTATTACCTTAACGTAATCACCCTTCTCCAAATGTCTCGATGGAAAGTCTGCAGGCTTACGACCCTAAAATTTGGGTTTCGATACCCGTGAAAGACAGAGCACAGACAATGTATTATTTAGCAGTATGTTTAACAGCAACCAAACTAAAGCTTCCCCAAGTGGCTCACTGATAAGTCCGAGGGCGTATAATGCCAAATTTCGGGTTCACATCGCATCTTTTTGCAAAACAACGAAGAAACAAGCATAAACATAAACATCAATTTAATTAAGTTGCTGAAATCAGAGAGTGTGTTTAGAAGGTAACTTGCATCTCGCTAAAACTTTTCGATCACCTAAACGAAACAACAATCACTCTTGATTATTCAAGATATTTACTTTCAGTTAGTTTTGTTTTCGCTGTGCTGCTTCTTCCTAACCAAACATAGTTCAGTTTGATACTCAGTACAGTGCTGAATGCTATGCTGTGCATTTCAAACGCCTATTAAACTAGAATTAGCCAAAATTGCTATGAGGAATTACCGAGTTCAGGAACAGTGACACGCGCGCTAGAGCATATATATCAAACCATGTATGCAGCTAGCTATTCGGAAGACACGCTGCAGGCTTCCTCGCTCTTCTGTTACACCCTGGTGGCAATCAATAACAGTAAGCTTTGCCAAACACAGAGTACAACCTCTTGCTGCATAAGAATGATGATTTACTTATTATATGACTTCTCAAAAAGGCTTAGTACTTACCAGACCCTGGGGAGACAGGCCATACATCAGAGACATAAATTCACGAGCATTGATTTTCAGTAAACTTATAGTTATGCAACATAACGATACTCTTACAACTCTCAAACGTGTGAAGGGCTGAAGTTTCTTCAAAGAAAAACACTATGCTGTAAATTTTTATATGTAAAATTTCCTGGAAATTTTATTCAACTAATCTTCGTTCACACAGTGTGAACTCTTGTATTGTTTGTCACGTGGAAAACTTCATGGAATAGATTCGGTCAGGGATTATGCAATATCATTACAAACATTCTAGACAAACTGTTGGGAAAGCTACTTAACTCATTTAATGAGTTAAGTAGCTTTCCCAATAGTTTGTCTAGAATGTTTAATGAGTTAAGTAGCTTTCCCAATAGTTTGTCTAGAATGTTTAATGAGTTAAGTATCTTTCCAAATAGTTTGTCTAGAATGTTTACAAACCGATATGATGGCCCGGCATGGCCAGGTGGTTAGGGCGCTCGACTCGCAATCTGAGGGTCGTGGGTTCGAATCCCCGTCACACCAAACATGCTCGCCCTCTCAGCCGTGGGGGCGTTATATGTGACGGTCAATCCCACTATTCTTTGTTAAAAGAGTAGCCCAAGAGTTGGCGGTGGGTGGTGATGACTAGCTGCTTTCTCTCTTGTCTTGCACTGCTAAATTAGGGACGGCTAGCGCAGATAGCCTTCGTGTAGCTTTGCGAGAAATTCAAAACAAACAAACAAACACACCTATGTGAAGCCATCGTTCAATATCTTTCGGCTATTCCTATTTCCTTTTACAAGCCGACGAAGAATGATTACTATTATACTTGTCATAAGACATTAGTGTTAAGCCTATTATATTTTTAAACACTACGTTCTTAATATAGTCCTTTAGAGCTTTTCGAGAATTAGGAGAGTGTATAATAATAGTATTTCAACCACACTATATTTGTCGCATCCATTAACAACGACGCGTGGTTGGAATACTGTTATTATACGTTTTTCTCGTTCTTGAAAATATCCCTATGGAACTAGGTTAAGAATGTAATATTTAAAATTGTAACAGGCCCAATACCAGTGTCTTATGACACGTAAAAATTGTCGTCATTTTTCACCGGCTTGTAAAAGGCGTACACACTGTAACAACTGCCGTGGTATCATATAGCTTATATATATATATAAATAGTGTTCTGACCATTGCTGTGTTTGTTGTATCTCAATCGGCCTGAAGAGTTTTGGATTGAGCGAAACGCGTCTTCGGCAGTGGATATGACAAATACTGTATGGTTGGAATACTATTATCACACGTTCTTATAATTCTTGAAAATCTTTAAGGAACTGAATTAAGAATTTAGTGTTTCAAAATGTAATAGGCCTAACACTAATATCTTATAACAAGTATAATTATTCGTAAAAACTGTTGTTTTCTTAGTGCAAAGCTACACAATAAGATATCTACACTTTGTCCTTCGCGAGCAATTAAGCCCCGGATTTTAGTGTTGTAATTCCATACACACGGAAGTACATTCTTACAAGTAATCTCGTCAGTGAATTTCAGTCTTAATTTTGGAAATAGCTATTGTTTCTTTCGTGCTTGTTCTTGCGTCTCTGTATACCAGGTCAAGTTTAATGTTGCAGTAATAGTAGTGTATTTCAGCTTAAAACAATACGAACATCAGGCTAGTTGCCAAATTGGTGGGACTAACATAAACGTGCTTGTGTTATAAGTGACATTGTAGGCAGAATGACTCTTCTTAGGCCTTGCATTTAAGATTAATTTGCAGTTAAAGCTGATTGAAACACAACTGATTATGTTCAACCGAAAACCTACTAGACAGTTAATACTATTAAAATAGATAATTACACTGGTTTATTATTGCTGTCTGAGTTAAATGTAATGGGCTAACTTAACAAATTTAACGGAACTAAAATAGATTACTGTTTCTAACCTGCAACCTAAATCAAGGCTTCAGATACATGGCTTTATGCACAAATGTTTCGAATTGTCAATGTTAAGATAGATATAATATGATTGCAATGAGACAGTATATTAACAAACGTGGTATAACCAAATAAACAGAAATACTGTACAGTGAAGAATGATAATATAGATAAAAGCTATAAAAAATCGATCAAAAGAAATTAAAAATTCTACTAAAGTTAGATACTTTCTATTTTCGATCTATTACCTATGGAAATTTAGGGTTTAAACAGGGAAACACACACCTACTAAAGTTATGACAATATATATATATACTTAAACATGGATAACACACAACACACACACTAAATTTGTGATAATTTGCTCCTTAGTGGCACAGTGGTCAGTATGCAGATTTATAACGCTAATAACCGGGTTTCAGTACCCGTGGTGCACACAGCACAGATTGCCTATTGTGTATCTTTACGCTTAACTACAATCAAATAAATTATGACATTGATAACACGTGCTCTAAAATTATGACGATTTAAAATCTAACCATGAAAAACAGGTATACGAAATTCTTTACATTATGATAAAATTATTATCTAAAATTATGATAATTTAAAATCTAAGCATGGAAAACACACTTTAAACTTCTACCAATTTAAGGTTTATAGAAGGAAAAACACACACACATTCAACTTATAATATTTTAAGGTTTATACATAGAAAACACACTCTAAAGCTACGCCGATTTAAGGTTTATACATAAATACCAAACATTAAAATTATATTAATTTAAAGTTTAAACAAGTAAAGAGCTCATATTAAGGAATCCTATCATGAACAAAACACATTAAATTTAACACAATTTAAAGTTTAAACAAGTAAAGAGTTCATATTAAGGAATCCTATCATGGACAAAACACATTAAATTTAACACAATTTAAAGTTTAAACAAGTAAAGAGTTCATATTAAGGAATCCTATCATGGACAAAACACATTAAATTTAACACAATTTAAAGTTTAAACAAGTAAAGAGTTCATATTAAGGAATCCTATCATGGACAAAACACATTAAATTTAACACAATTTAAAGTTTAAACAAGTAAAGAGTTCATATTAAGGAATCCTATCATGGACAAAACACATTAAATTTAACACAATTTAAAGTTTAAACAAGTAAAGAGTTCATATTAAGGAATCCTATCATGGACAAAACACATTAAATTTAACACAATTTAAAGTTTAAAGAAGAAAAACACGCACGAACCCAAAAGTGAAAGTAAAGTAAAATATAATACATCAACCTAACTACATCTGCTATATCAAATGCGGAGCCTAACGTCCGTTCAAAAAATGACCTCGTTTGAGATCTAGGAGGTAACATGGCTTCATAGTCCTACAGAATGACGCCAGAGGGCGGATAGCTTGAATTTGTATAACTAGAAGGTGTAGAAAGTGAATAGTTCTAAATTATAGGAGGCGATGAGCGGCACTCCCAGATGCTTTCTTGTGTGATTCACTTGCGAACCACCAGAAGATTTTGTTGAACGCTATAAGATAGTAAGTTATGACCTCACTTCTATATCACCAATACCAAGGCTACAAACATGTACTATCGCTCGACGGTTCTTTTCAACTCTGAATACGTTGTTCCATTCCTCGTTATTACGTCTAATCATTAGTCCAGTGATGTTCTACCGCATGTAAAGAAGAATGATAAACCAATCTGAAAATATAAGTATTATTAGCTTAGAGAGTCGTGTTTTTACTATTTCTCTGTGTCTTTTTAAGCCCCCCCCCCTCCCCAGTGACACAGCGGAATATCTGCGGATTTACAACGCTAGAAACCGAGTTTCGATACTCGTGATGGGCAGAGCAGAAATAGCCCATTGCGTAGCTTTGTGCTTAATTACAAACAAACAAACAGCAAATATAAGTATTATTAATAGAGTCGTGTTTCTTTATTTTTCTGTGTCTTTTTATATACATTATTCTAAAGGGCTTTTTTGTCATTATTATTGTTTTCTCAAATACTGTTGTTGCCATTTATTAATTACTATATATGTTGTAGTCTTTAGTCTACTTCTTCTTGAAAGAAGTGTTGTAGACAGTCAATAAATGACGAAAAAGATCATTATATAAACAACGTGCAGAAGCACCAGATTCATTTCTTTTTGGAAATCATCGTTACATCACTCCTGCAACTCACGATAATAATTTTAATGTTCATATTCGTCAGTTCACAGACTTTGGAAAATGAAACTATATCAAATCAAAGAATGCATCACCTTTTCATCAACTGAGTGGGTGGAATTCAAGCAGTGGATCCTAACCACTAGTGTAGTTGTACGGTGTAAAAACTGAACAAGATTTTCTTCACGACGACCATAACCGTATAATTCGTGTTTTGTGTGTTAATAACATTCCCTACCACTAGTGTAGTTGTACGGTGTAAAAACTGAACAAGATTTTCTTCACGACGACCATAACCGTATAATTCGTGTTTTGTGTGTTAATAACATTCCCTACCACTAGTTTAGTTGTACGGTGTAAAAACTGAACAAGATTTTCTTCACGACGACCATAACCGTATAATTCGTGTTTTGTGTGTTAATAACATTCCCTACCACTAGTGTAGTTGTACGGTGTAAAAACTGAACAAGATTTTCTTCTCGACGACCATAATCGTATAATTCGTGTTTTGTGTGTTAATAACATTCCCTCTGTTTTGTTTACATATCGTTTTCATTACCATGGTATTGATATTATATCGGATAAGGTTCTCGCTGTTTTATCAAAATCATAATGGTAATAGTTACGTGCTTAGACTTGTCACGTAGACATTTATTCAAAAGCTATTATTGATATTCGTGCAGACAAAAAATTGGATGATCAGCTGAAAACACTACTAACTATGAATCATTATGTGTCGTTGTAACGTGAATAGGGACTGCTGTAACTTGATCTTCTTCATGTCACATTACTCAACGTATCTGCACATGAAGGTTTTGACTTGATTTTCATCTGTATGATTGAGATTGGCCTTGATGCAAAGTTCATTCCACTTCATATCTCATGTTGTGGAGAGCATAGGTGCTATTCAGTGCAGACCTTGCCTGGGTCATGTTCTATCTGTATGAATTCAGCCTGGAGTTGATTGTGTGCTTTCAAGGCC